CTGGAACTTTAACGACAGATGCTTGAACTTTACTCATGAATGTTTTCGTTGTTGAATCCATAGAGTCTGAAGTTGCTGATACAATGATTTGGTCATAGTAAGAGTCGTTTCCTAAACGCTCTGTTATGAGTATATGACGAATGAGGTTAAATGTCTTTCCTGAACCCATCTTTCCACAATAGAAATACACACCATTTGAACAGAATTCATAATCTTTGCTGAAAGGAAGAATAAGAGAAGAGTTAAGTTTGTCTGTAGTTTCATTCATGTCTTCATCTACGTCATGTATTAAATGCTTCATTTTATCTCCACTAAAAATGCAAGTCAGAAATATTCAGAACATAGCACCGAGTCTAACTGACAAGAGTATAAAGATATACTATGAACACGTTATGATGAAACCAACCAAAATTCAAGAAAGTCAGTATACTTATGAATATCCAAGACACTGGTAGAGTATGTAGGAGGTGAGAAAGCTATTGAAATAAGACAAGTTAGAAGTATTCCAGCAGGAAGAACAATATTATTGAAGAACTTTAATGTTTTGAGATATAATGATGAAACAAAGAAGCAAGATAGTTTCCCTGTTGCTGTGTATGTGAACTTAGATACAGGAGATGGCATGAAAGTTTTTAACACAAAGCTTCAAACGGTATTGAAAGAACAACTTATAGCAGAAGGACACCCATTACCTTCAGAAGTTACCATAGCATATAATTTTGAAACAAATGCAATAGATTTTAAAATCGTCTCTGCAAAGAAGTCAGGTTTTACATTTAATGAAGCAGATGTATATTCGAATGAAAACTTCAAAGCTATTGCATGGTTAGATAATGACGATTGCTTTAAGAAAATATTTAAATTCAGTGACTCAAAGATGTCAATAGATGACCTTCGTGGAATGTTACCATCGACGTTTACAGTTGAAGGTTCAGCAGGATTGCTTACAAGATTGTCAATTGGTGGCGTTTGGTCTCGTGAGAACATTGTTATAAAATCCAGTATAAGTGAATTTGCTGAAGAATCTATATTATGTCTTTCAATCTACATGTATTCGCCACCGAAGCATTATAGTATAACAAACTTTGTCAGTAAGTTTAACATAAGACTTGTCGAACCTTCTTCAATGAAAGATGTTGTGCTACCTAAAGATGGAAAGGATGGACTCATTATTGAGATGATTTTAATTGCATATTAAATGAGCTTGTACTTGAAAGTCATTCATGATGAAATAACTGTTGTAGAAGATGTTAGCAATTGTTCAGACATTTTGAAGCGAATAGATGAGATAAGAAAGAAGTTAGATAGACCGCAAAGCGGTGAGGGTGAAGCCCGTGAGAATGTTTATGTTTCATTGACTTTCTCCAGTAACGAGAACTTTTATGAGATAATATTGAAGAGAGATGATTTTAATATGGTGTAAATGGTAGCTTGGGCAGCTTTAGGCGCAATGGGAACAAAAGCATTAGCATTTGGAGCAAAAGCACTTGGGGCTTATGACGCAGTAAATAAAATGAGTGGAGGAAGAGTTTCGAAGACATTAGACGCAAATAAAGGAAAGATTGGAGGCTGGGTTGCAAAGAAGTTAAGATTAAATAAAATAGGGCTCATAAATAAAGCATCCAATTTGGTTGCGACTGAGTCAGAAAATGCTTTAGGAAAGGACGATGAGTTTGCAAAACACGCAAAAGACTTTAATGACCAGATGAAAGGTGAAACAATGCATTTAAATAGAGTCGATGGAACTAAAGAAAATGTTTCTTCTCCACCAGCGGTATATCCATACGGACCTTATGGAATGTATGGAAACCCTTACGAAAGACCATTTGACCCATTGACTGGTGGAAGTAACTGGTATCATTATGGACGAAGAAGAAAGACAGTCAAGTTGGAGACGGACGTAAAGAAAGCAACTAAAAAGAAACCAAGGAAGAGAGTTATAAAGCAATGAATTCAAGTGGGTGAAAAACCGGGTGAAAAAAGAGGTGAGATTTCACCACTTCACCTAAATTTATTTTTGTGCTATGTTTTCATACGCGTGAAGGTAGTGATATCATTTATTTTTTATTTTATTTTTATTTTATTTTTATGTAAATGACGAAAACTATTGAGATAACAAACTACAACGGTCATGAGTTCAAGAATTTGTTCTTCGTTCCTCGTGAAAATACATTCTATCAGATACGAGGGAGAAAGGGTAAAGTTAGTTTGAGCGTTTATGACAAAGAGCATTATGGAAGATATATACAAGCAATAGATACAAACGGTAAGTGTGTTTCATTAGCTTTGTCAAAACTTATAAACATTAATTATGACAGTGACTTTGACCTATATGAAGAAGAAAGTGAGTCAGAAGATTATGAGCTGTTATGTGAAGCACAGCAATGGGAGGAGTTGCAATACTTTTGTAAGTGAGAACATTAATGGGAACGTTAGTCAGAACGTTTATTTTTTACATTAGTGAGGTGAAGAAATTGGCGGCTTTGTAAATATTTAAGGTTAAATTAGTGTTATCGCTTGTGTTGTAAAATATACATTAACGGTTTTGTAAAGTGTCAAAACCGTTATATTGGGTAAGGTGGAACGCAGTGCCACCGTACGCAAGATAGGTATACTAACTAAGAAACCTCAAGAGATGAAGAGTAAACATTATGAGAAGGTCGACAACTTTGTTGAAAGGTTTTCTCCTTTTGTTTTGAAGTACGAATTCACTCAAGGTCAAAGTGGCTTAGTAACCACATTAAAACCTATTGTCGAACATTGGTCTTACCCTCAGTTCGCAAAGGCAGTACTTGACAACTACAACAAATTCTTCTCCGAAGTCAATCCAAAGTCAAGGTTTACTATGAGAACATTGACGCACTCATGACGAACGAAGAAGGATACAACAAACTCATTGAAATGGGTGTGGTCGGTGAAAAGATGGGTCAATTCAAATTGGACAAAATTTTCACCGAAGTTCATGTCCTCTCCAAGCGTAAGTACTGGGGGTGTTAAAGAAGATGGTGAAATAGTTAAACATTGCATGAAATAAAAAAATTTTATTCGAATTTGAATTTAAATGTGGGAATTCTTGGGAACGTGAAAGGCTTATTTACTTGAGGAACAGGTAAAGGTGGTGGAGGTGGTGGCAACCAGTCCATTTTATATTCCTTCCTAGCTAATTTCCGTTTAATTTCATGGTCGCCCTCGGAGTCTTTGAATCGGACAGGTCGAGTTACACCATTCTTGGTCTCAAACTCATATATAACCTGTTTGTCTGTATTTTCGTCGACTATGGCACGAGACACGAACGTTGACCAAACGGACAAAAAGTGTCATTTCGGATGGTCAAGCAGCCAATCGCATTCGAGCACTTCGAAGAAGCCTTACGTTCCAAGGGAGAGGGTGTCTGGTGCAAAGCAGAGGTCATGAGACTCTACGAGCAGTACATCCTCAATGCCTGGGAGGACAAATCGTCCTTGAATTGGCAATTCTACCAACTCCTCTGGGACGACCTCCTACGCAACTGGGATAACGAAAGAGCCCAATTCAAAGGTCGGGAGCTAATTTTCCAAATTACCATTAATTTAACCTACTTATCCAACTAAACACCTAAATTTACTTGGGGTTTCCCCCTAAAATAAATTTTTTTACTCTTAGAACCACTCGAGGTTCTCTTTACGGTTGTTGAGCTTGTCACCGTCAATGTGTTTGACCTTCGTCTTCTTGTCTGGATTTGGAACCCATTGAATTGCGACAAGCTTGCCCATGGAAATTGAACCGCGATTCCGAAGGTTAAGGTTCAAGTGTCCCAAGTTGTTGAGAACTGGGGTAAGAACCTTGCCGGTCTCCCTGTTGCGGATTTTGTATGGGTAGGGTTGGGAAATTTCGTAAGCGTCATCGGCAACAAGGGTTGCCCAAACTTCCTCTTCTTCGTATTTCTCTTCTTCCTCTTCTTCTTCGTATTTCTCTTCTTCCTCTTCTTCTTCTTCGTGTTTCTCTTCTTCCTCGACAATTCCTTCTTCAATTTGGTACTCACGAAGTACGGTGTTGCATGTTCTGTCCTTTCCGAGTACCTTCCAGATGGCGTCTATCTCTTCGAAGAAACGGTAGATAAGTCGGGCAAGGTCTCGGTTCTCTCTCTCGTAATTGCGCAACGATTCTGAGAAATCGTTCAGGACTTTTTCATTGGAAGCTTGGTTCATGAGGAACTCACCTTTAAATCCCTTCATCTCTGACATAAGACTACTTTGGAGAGTCTTAACGGTGTTTGTCAGATGAGCTTTCAATTGGGCAATTTGAATTTGAATTGGGCGCTTGTCTGGCAACCTTGAAAGGACATCTTCCATTGAGTTTGGCTTCGGTGCTTGTTCGGACATCGAAAAAATGAAGTGGTTTGAGAATGACGGTTTTACTTCAAAAAGCTTGTTATGACAGTTAAGTCATACAATAAGTTTAAAATAATATCTTGTTCTTCTTCTGAACGTTTGTTGTCTCTTCCGATAAAAGTTTCGAACATGAGAACCAAAAAACGTTTTTTGAGATTGCGGAAGAGTTCAGGCAAATTTTCATATTCTGGATATGTTGGGAGCAGTTCAAAACATCTGAGCTGACTTTCGGACAAAATTGGGACAATGTCAGAAAATTCATCTTTGGTCGGACTGCTTGAAGGTAAGTCCCTTACATGTAAGTAGCTCTGGTAAAGTCTTCTCATTTCTGCTAACTTTTGGAGTATAGCTTCGTAGTTTAGAAGTTTCAATTTTAATTGTCTTATTCCTCTCTTGACATCTAAACGGTAACTATCCATGAGGTCAAGGGTTGCTTTAGTTGCCTTAAGTGGAGCTATCTGTTCCTTGACTTCTGCAATTTTGGTTGCAATTGTGGTTTGAGCTCCTTCAAGTTCGCCGTCTATGTCGTTCTCAACACCTTCAACCATAGCTTGAAACTCTTCATCGGTCCATTGAGATTGGTGTGGGACGAATTTAACTTGCTTCATTCAAAAAATGAAAAAAATGTTTTTACTCAAAGCGTGCCATGTATATGGCTATAAGAAACTTACCAGAAGGCTTCTTCTTCACATGAGTCTTTGGCAACTTGAGTGTTGGTGTTGGAGTTCTTGTTGGTGTCGGGTCTGGAATTTCAATTCTCTCTCGAGCGCAACAACAGATGTCAGAATAACATTCCCACTGTCCTTCTTGCCACCATAAACTGTGTATTGACCAAACTTGCATTTACAGGAAGACCGGTCAATACAAGGTTCACAGTTGAAATAGTTGTACACAAACCTGTTGAGTACGAGTGTGAGTAAAAACATAAAAAAAGTGAAGTTAAACGTTAAGGTTTACTGAATTGGTTGGATGTCGCCTTCACAGGTTATGTAGAACGGCTGACCAGAGAAGTGGAGAAGACTCTTGAGAATTTGGTTCATTCTTGGGAAAGGGTTCTCTCTGTTTGGAAGTAGTATCCAAGGACGCTTGGCAAAGAACTTTATAATGGCTTCCTTCTTTGCTTGCTTTATGTCGTCGTAGGCTGTCCCGTCTGGTATTTGAATTGGAATTCCGGTCGAAGTCTCGAGATTCAATGCAGCCCTTCCCGTTATCCAACCGTTAACAAGCTTGCCTTTTACATTCTGCCTGAGGAAGTCTTTAACAAGCTCGTTAATTTCAATTAGGTAAATTGCCTCGTCGGTAGGTTCGACCTCGACCATTGCTACTGTCAGAAAAAGTACTGCTACTGTCAGATAAAGTACTGCTACTGTCAGTAAAAGTACTGCTACTGTCAGTAAAAGTACTGCTAGTAGCAGAGATTTTTATCGTTGTGGTCCGACGGTTAAGCCACAAACGAATGTCCGACGTTCCTCTTCCTGAATGCCTTCCCAAACCAGAGGAACCTAAAGAACCACAACAGTCTCCTCAGCAACCTCAGTTCCAGCAAGTACCTCCGAATTACTACCAATTTCCACCTCAAGGTTATTACCCACCACAAGGCTTCCCGAACTACCCTCCTCAACCTATGCCTTACTTCCCCAACCCTTGGTTGTTCCAGCAAGCTCCACCCCAGCAATTCAAATCTCAATCGAAGAGAGACCAAGAGTTCGAAGAAGGTCTGAACCGTTTACGCAAAGATTATGCCACAGCCCCTATGGAAGATGACAGGCTTTCAGTCTCTTCCCTAAGGGAGTGTGGTAGAATTTACGAAAAAGTGACAGTAGAAAAAGTGACACTTAACCTTAAATTTCCAAACACTATTTTTTGATTATATTTAGTTATTTATATATTTATATATATATATGTATATTTATATATATATATGTATATTTATATTTATATATGTATATTTATATTTATATATGTATATTTATATTTATATATGTATATTTATATTTATATTTATATATGTATATTTATATTTATATATGTATATTTATATTTATATATGTATATTTATATTTATATATGTATATTTATATTTATATTTATATTTATATATGTATATTTATATTTATATATGTATATTTATATTTATATATGTATATTTATATTTATATATGTATATTTATATTTATATATGTATATTTATATTTATATATGTATATTTATATTTATATATGTATATTTATATTTATATATGTATATTTATATTTATATATGTATATTTATATTTATATATGTATATATTTATATATGTATATATTTATTAGAAACTGCTTCATGCTGCATTGAGTATTGTTGAATAATTTGAAGTAGTGGTTTTTGAAATCAGCACCCCTATGAGAGCGCTGGCGACCGAAACACCACTAGTAAGATTGTGTATTAGAAACTGCTTCATGCTGTGTTGAGTAAGCTTCGATGTCTTTGTAGGATAGCTTTCTGAGAGCGAAACAAGATAGTGTTGAAAAAAATTTTGAAAATCTGAGAGACTGTGCAAGAGCCAACGACCAAAACGCTACCAGTAAGATACAGCAGTAGTAGCTGCTTCATGCTGCATTGAGTATTGTTGAATAATTTGAAGTAGTGGTTTTTGAAATCAGCACCCCTATGAGAGCGCTGGCGACCGAAACACCACTAGTAAGATTGTGTATTAGAAACTGCTTCATGCTGTGTTGAGTAAGCTTCGATGTCTTTGTAGGATAGCTTTCTGAGAGCGAAACAAGATAGTGTTGAAAAAAAATTTTGAAAATCTGAGAGACTGTGCAAGAGCCAACGACCAAAACGCTACCAGTAAGATACAGCAGTAGTAGCTGCTTCATGCTGCATTGAGTATTGTTGAATAATTTGAAGTAGTGGTTTTTGAAATCAGCACCCCTATGAGAGCGCTGGCGACCGAAACACCACTAGTAAGATTGTGTATTAGAAACTGCTTCATGCTGTGTTGAGTAAGCTTCGATGTCTTTGTAGGATAGCTTTCTGAGAGCGAAACAAGATAGTGTTGAAAAAAAATTTTGAAAATCTGAGAGACTGTGCAAGAGCCAACGACCAAAACGCTACCAGTAAGATACAGCAGTAGTAGCTGCTTCATGCTGCATTGAGTATTGTTGAATAATTTGAAGTAGTGGTTTTTGAAATCAGCACCCCTATGAGAGCGCTGGCGACCGAAACACCACTAGTAAGATTGTGTATTAGAAACTGCTTCATGCTGTGTTGAGTAAGCTTCGATATCTTTATCAGACCACCTTTAAATTAACCACTCACATTCTCACTGTGGTCCATCTAAAATTTGTAAGCTTTATGACATAAAATTATATTATATGCAGGATCCCACCTATTACTTAATCTTTTTGGAATAAATGTTTTATAATATTTATCGATTGATTGTAATTTTTTGTATAAAAAAAAGTTTTTTATTTATATTAAAAATATATTTTGTTAATGATATTATCTTATAATTTGTAAATAAATCTAGTAATAAAATAACTTTAATAGTTGGTGTCACTTTTTCGAAAATTCTGGTTTTTTCAAGAAGGTCTGAACCGTTTACGCAAAGATTATGCCACAGCCCCTATGGAAGATGACAGGCTTTCAGTCTCTTCCCTAAGGTCGACCAATTCGACTCGTACCACAGATTCGGTTCGTGACCGTGACGACTACCTCAAGCAGTCTGAGAGACTCTTCATCTTACAGCCATTTACAGCTGGAGCACTCAAGAACATGCGCAATTACGAAGGTCAAACACCAGCTGGAGACCGCAAAACAGACGTGCTTACAAGAGCAGTCCAACTGGTCAAGACAAAGACTGAGATAGTCGACTTCATTCTTGCAGCTTGCCCATACAAGTAAAAAAATAAACAATTACGAGTTAAACTTTTTATTCTTTCTTTTCTGAGTTGTTTAGAGCTGGTTTCTCTTGTAGAAACCTTTCGTACTCTTCCATGGTCATGTAATTGCGAATTTGGTACGCAATTCCAGGTTCGTTGTTTTTGAACCTTATGTATGTAACGCTTCCATCCTCCTCAGGGAAGTAAGCTGCTAACATCTGACCAAGTTTTCTCGGTGACTCGGAGCTCATAAAAATGTCACTTTTTAAACGTTAAGTTTTTAGTCTTATTTTACCCTTTGTTTTTCAAGGTAGTATTGGACTGCAATTTCTCCAAATTCTCTGTGTCGGAGTTCTTCAGCATTTTCCAAGGTGTACCTGGAGAACTCAAAGAAGTTGTCAAGAACATACTGCCATGCTGCTCTTCTGAGTTCGTCGGTATTTTGGAAGTGTTGCACCTTCAAGTCTTCGGACATGAAAAAATGTCACTTTTTCCAACTCGTAATTGAATTCATTGTACTTCTCTTCACGTACATAAAACTCAGCAATGGTATTTGCTTTAAGAATTTACCATCTTACTAAGACTAAACATTTAATTTTCAAGCTTGACTTTTTACATTTTGAACTTTGTTTGCGTAGATATGAATTCTGAAAGAAGTATGAGGGTCTTGTATGACTTTATACTTCTCCCATAGTTCATGTCTGTCAAACTTACCTGCCATGGACTCTTTCATAAGTTCCATGAAATCGTCTTCGGACAATCCGGGGAAAAGTATTATGTCAGTAAGTATTCTCTTTACATCCTTACTTAAACTCTTGGCTGTCTGTACACAAATGACAACTGAAATGTTAAAGTGCCTAAGTTTCTTAAGAATTCGACACATGTCTTGTTCTCTATTCTTTAACAAAGGATGAGAGGCGAAATCATCTAAGATAAGAAGACACCTATGAGGGTACGTTTTCCAATCGTAAGATTGCAATTTCTTCGAAATGTATTCTATCTCTTTCTGTTTGTTTCTGAAGTGTTTCTTCTCTAATATTCTCTGCATTTCCTCATTTGGGTCTTTAAACTTAGAATTTATATACTCATTTATAGCATTATATTTCAAAACTCTTCTTTGGTACTTCTTTATCCAATCTAACAACTCAGTATCCTTTATACATACTAACTTAGACTTCTTTATAATATCTTTGAACGAATTGACGGTTTGGTCAAATTGACCAGAAGTCGAACAAATAACAACTAACTCATAGAATGGGTTCTTCTCATCTAGTTCTTGTTGTTGTGCAGCCATTTTAAGATAAGTGAAAGTCTTACCCGACCCAGGTGGTGCAATTAGACCTGTTATACCATTCTGGCAAATAAGAACTTTTCATGTATAGGCTTTATCTGAGCATTTCCAACTTCCTCTTGTTCTTGTTTAAAACATTCACAAATTTTTTGTCAATGTCAGCAAACTTTTTTTCTAACATATTTTTAGAAAAATTAAAATTTTTATCTTTTAAAAAGAGTGGGGGACAAACTCGCCCATTGTCACTTTTTCATTAACCTTAAACTTGTAATTTTCATTATTTTTAATTAACCTTATTTCTTTCCAATTCCTGATTTATTTTATTCACTTACTATTAAAAGTCACATTTTAATAAAATATAATAATTTATTTATAGCATTTTTTACTATACTGTAATAAAAAATTAATTATAATAAATTAAATGTTTATTAAATCAAATGTTTTCTTTGCAATAATATTTTTAATGTTGAGTAAACAATGTTGGGATCAAGTGTATCATTTTTCAGACCTTTCTGAACAGCTTCAAGCATACTGATGCATTCGACTTTTTTAAATTGTGTCATTTCTTCGAAATCTCTTGTGACTTTTTTGATAACTTTAACACTTCTCTCTGAATCCAGACCTTTAATTTGCAACTTAATCAGGAATGAAGGAACAACACTGGAATATAACTCGATGACAAGTTCATCGAGTCGAAGATTTGGTTGTACACCACTTGTATGTGCCGGATACCATTGTGTCAAATTTTTTCTGAAATTAACTTTAAAAGTACTAAGTAAGATCATTTATTTTTGCATAATATAATGCCAATATGGTTTCTTTTGATTTTATTTCATTTATAAGCAAATCAGATTTACCCAAAAACTCCACTCCATAAGCGTTCATTTGCTAAATTAAAAAGTGACAATGGGCTAGTCTGTCCCTTTCTCTTTAAAAAATGTCTAGCGATTTCGCTATCTATATTCGAGACAAACTTTTCGACAGCAAAACATCTGTCGACCATAAAATCTTACATAGTGTAAACAAGACAGGTGAATTTGTTCTAAAGTTCTGTTTCTGGGAATATGACAAGAACCATAAAACATTACAAAGAGCAGTCTTAAAATTTGTCAATGACAGACTTGTTGACAGAGATGACGCCGATTGGAAAGATGAAGTCCAACAAAAGTTCTTAGAATGCAAAGAAGACACATGCGCTGTTCTTGAAGATGAAATAGAAAACAGAATAGAAGAGCTATTAAAGGACAAAGAACTTTTACATAAATATGGTTCGGAGAAATTTGGAATAACTCCACCAGAAAAGAAGAAGAGAGAAAATAAAGAAAAGAAAGTAGAAGAAGAGAAGAAAGAACCAGAGCCAGTTCCACCGAAGAAGAAATTTGACATGTAAAAATAAAATTTTATTTTTAGAACATTTCTGGGTCAATGTCAATGTTCTCTTCCTCTTTAGGAGCAAACACCGGCTTAGACTCTAAAATCTTTTTACCCAATTTACCTTGAACTTCTACAACTTTAGACTCATAATATTCATAGTCGTCTGTCTTCTTTGGTTCATAAGGTATAACAAGTTTGTATGCTTTGCCTTCTTTAAGGTTTGAAAACCTTCTGTCAAAACTTTCTTTGACTGTTAACAAACCTTCTATGTCTAAGTCTTCAAATTTCGCACCATTTTTAGTCACAATAGCAAACTTAACTGGTTCGATGTTCCAA